AAAAAAAAAAAAAAAAAAAAAAAGTAAGTTGCTCCTTAGCTTCCCCTCCCTCGGCCTTTGGCACCCAGGAGTCCGTGTCTGCCTTATGGATTTGCATATTCTGTATATTCATATAAATTCTACTATGCAGTCTTTTGCGTGTGGTATCTTTCACTTGGAATAATGATTTAAGAGTCATCCATGGTGTGATACTTATCAGTCCCAGTTCCTTTTTCTGACAGAGCAGCAGTCGCTGTGTGGGGATAGGGTGGATGGCATTCTGTTTTCTCACTGATCTGTTGATGGACCTGCGCTGCTCTCCCTCCAGACCCGGAGAGCCATGCTGCTCTGAACACTTGTACATGACTTTTGTGAGCATTGCAGTTAGTTCTTTCTGATGCATAGCTAGAAGAATTGCTCGTCCACATCATAAACCCTGGACTCACTGCACACCTGCAGAATTACTTCCCATAGCAATCATGCCATTCCATATTCCTTCCGGCAACAGCCGAGGGTTCATTTCTCCACATCATCACCACACTGCTAATTTTCCTTGAAAATATTTGTCATGCTCATCCTGATAAGTGGGCCACACCATGATAAGTGAAACCACACCATGCCTTTAACTTGTACCTCTTACCAATGCTGCCAAGTTTCTCTTTGTTTGTTCACCATTTGGAGATGTTCTTTTGGGCAAGTATCTATTCAAGTTCTCTGCCCATTCTTCAGTTCTTTTTATCTTTTTGTTAGATAAGTAGGAATCTAGTCTTAACGTCATCAAAAGAAGGTGCATACTGCATTATGATAAACTAAGAGTGAAATGAGTAGTCTAAAACTCTACTTACAGATACCAAATAGTCAGAGAAACATAGAATAACACCAAAGTGCTCTGTGCATGCATGTGCGTGCATGCATGTATGAGTGTGTGTGTGTGTGTGTGTGTGTGTGTGTGTGTGTGTGTGTGTAGACCAGAGGTCAACTTCCAGGGTCATCCTTAGGAAAGTCTTCTGCTCCTTTGAGATAGTGTCCCTCTTTGGCCCAGCTCATCAATTGTGCTAGACTGGCTGGCCAGTGAACCCCAGAGATCCTAATGTTCCTGCCTTTCATCCCCAGTGCTGAGATTAGAAGCATGTGACACTATGTCTGCCATTTGTACATGGATTCTGGAGACTAAACATGGGTACTGGTGTTAATGGGGCAAGCAGTTTATGGACTGAACTATCTCTCCAGCCCCCAGAGAGTGTTCTAAAAAGAGTTAGAATGCTTGTTTACTCGGAAAAATGCTTTCTCAAACTTTCCATGTGACGCAGTCTCTCCCTCAGGGCTGTCTCTCACTCTTTCACCTGCATGCAAGGGTTGCTGAAAGCAGCCATGTTCTTTCCCAGGGTGCTAGCCTCTTCCCTGAGGTGGATCCTTGAGCTCTGAAGTGAAGAGAAACGCTGCATATGTCTAATCGCCTGAACTTTTTGCATAGTCCTCTTAAATTAAAAGTAATGGGGAAAAAAAAGACTCTCATATCAGTCCCAAAGCAAAATTCCCTAAAGATGTTCTCATGCACACATAGGAATCCAAGGTTGTATTAACAGCCTAGTAATTCTAATGCCTTCAAGTTTACAACTGTGCCAAGGTTATCAATTTTTTAAATCCAAGAGGAAAAAAACAAAAGTTTTTTAAAAAGTCTTACATTCTGCTCTGCCAATGAATAGACAAGCTGTGGAAGAATGTCGCCCTTCACGACTGCTTCTGCTAAGTCATCGTTATAATTGGCCAGCCTCCCCAGAGCCAAGGCAGCAGTCTGTTGAATCGTTGGGACCACGTCCAGAAGAAGAGGCCTCAGCAACGACATTATACCTGAGTTAAAGTATGAAAACCAGAACTCAGCAAAATTTTAATTTAAAAAGCAAAACGTGTGATTCAACACATATGCAGTGAGGAAATGAAGGTTTAAAAACAAAACAAAAATCAGTAAATAAACAAACAAAAGTGAGGTAGGCATAGTAGTACACACCTGTATGTAATGCCCTGCTTTCAAAAGGCTGAGGCAGAGGAATCATGAGTTCAAAGCTCTCTCTGTGTGTGTCTCTCTGTCTCTGTCTCTGTCTCTGTCTCTGTCTCTGTCTCTCTCTCTCTCTCTCTCTCACACACACACACACACACACATACACATACACATACAAGTATTCAGTGAAAACTAATTGGATACTTACAGAGGTATCTAACTGGTCAAGACACAAAATCATGCTAGCCACCAAAATTACTAACACAGTGGGAAATACAGGCTCTGGAGCTGGATGAGAATTCACATTTCTGACTCAGAGGTAAACACCGATGATGTCATCAGGAGGACTGTGGACAAAGGTTAGAGCATCTTGGGCAGAGCCCCGCCCCCCATCCACCACCTTTGCCAGTCCCCTCTCTCAAGGATCATTCCAAGTCCTTTGTTCCATTTGGTCTTTTTTTCTGGCTGAACTACATTTTATTACAGAAAATGTTTTCAGGCTCTATCTCAGACCTGAGAGTCAGGAGAGTCATTGTGCCTGGCCAGTACTCACACTCACAAAAGC